ATGAGCAATCCACTATAAATATGAGATTACAAAATACAGAGGGAAACAACCTCAACCAATTCACTCAGAATACATGGGAGGTTCACACAAGTGATAACGTATCAAGCTTGTGACCCACAAATTCTCCCTCTAACCAAAAGTCTCAAAGCCCTTAAGACTACATTGTGAATGCTGATTAAGTTAGAAGAAAAATGCCTCTATTTATGGAGTCCTAAACCTTTTCCTACAAGAAAAGGATTAGTCAATCCAAAACCTTTTCCTACAAGAAAAGGATTAGTCAATCCAAAACCTTTTCCTACAAGAAAAGGATTAGTCAATCCAAAACCTTTTCCTACAAGGAAAACCTATTTATGGTAAGAAATTTAGGGCAAATAAAACCCAACAAATCTCCCCCTTGGCCTGAATTTCTGACAAATAAACTTGTCCACCTTCTTCACTTAATCTTCAACAACTTGCTTCTCCTCTCCATAATCTCCTTTGCAAAATTTATGTCTCAACACAAAGAATCTCTCTGAAACAATTTCTCAAACAAAATCTTCATTACTGTAAAAAAGGTTACTGCTAGAAGTACACCGCCAAGATGAACTCCTCTTTCTAACATGGTTCAATCATCGATTATCGAACCACTGAACCTGGCTCTGATACCACTTGTTAGGACCGAAAATAAGCAGGTGTATACGCGGAAGCTAGCAATGCAAACCTCAAAAGATAACGAGTAAGAAGACAACGAGAAATATACCAAAAGACACAAAGATTTAACGTGGTTCGGTCAATCGACCTACGTCCACAAAGGAGATGAGAAATCTACTATAAATATGAGTACAAAATACAGAGAGAAACAACCTCAACCAATTCACTTGGAATACATGGGAGGTTCACACAAGTGATAACGTATCAAGCTTGTGACCCACAAATTCTCCCTCTAACAAAACTCTCAAAGCCCTTAAGACTACATTGTGAATGCTGATTAAGTTAGAAGAAACATATCTCTACTTATGGAGTCCTAAACCTTTTCCTACAAGAAAAGGATTAGTCAATCCAAAACTTTTTCCTACAAGGAAAACCTATTTATGGTAAGAAATTTAGGGCAAATAAAACTCAACAAATCTCCCCCTTGGCCTGAATTTCTGACAAAATAAATTTCTCCACCTTCTTGACTTAATCTTCAACAACTTGCTTCTCCTCTCCATAATCTCTTTTTGCTAAATTTATGTCTCAACACAAAGAATTTCTCTGAAACAATTTCTACAACAAAATCTTCATTAATGTCAAAAAGGTTACTGCTAGAACTACACCGCCAAGATAAACACATCTTTCTAACCTGGTTCAATCATCGATTATCGAACCACTGAACCCGACTCCGTCATTAAATCTGGCTCTGATACCACTTGTTAGGATCAAAAATAAGCAGGTGTAAACACGGAAGCTAGCAAAGCAAACCTCGAGAGACCACGAGTAAGAAGACAATGAGAAATATACTAAAAGACACAAAGAATTAACGAGGTTCGGTCAATCGACATACGTCCACAAAGGAGATGAGCAATCCACTATAAATATGAGAGTACAAAATATAGAGAGAAAAAACCTCAACCAATTCACTCAGAATACATGGGAGGTTCACACAAGTGATAACGTATCAAGCTTGTGACCCATAAATTCTCCCCCTAACCAAAACTCTCAAGCCCTTAAGACTACATCGTGAATGCTGATTAAGTTAGAAGGAAAATGCTTCTATTTATAGAGTCCTAAACCTTTTCCTACAAAAAAAGGATTAGTCAATCCAAAACCTTTTTCTACAAGGAAAACCTATTTATGGTAAGAAATTTAGGGCAACTAAAACCCAACAGATGCCACCTTATTCAATGTACGTTCCATTATAGAATTCTCAGTATGATTCCACTAATATAATTTTTGAAAAGAAATTACTTTAGGGAAATAAACACATAGAAACATATATTAAATACATTACTTTCAAATTTTAAATATAAAGGCAACGGTCACCAAAAAATTTATGTCAATAAAATTTACTAGTGGATTTAATAATATCCTTCCATGAGTAGCCACTAGCATCTTGTCGTTCCTTGAAAGTTTATGTGGCCTTCGAGTTAGAATGACCATTTGGAACGAATATAAAATAAAATAAAAATAAATAACACATTTAATGATACTTATATTAGCAAAAAATAGATTAAGTATACAAAAATGTCTTTTCTTACTTTTCCATTACAACTTAGATGACTAACCATGTTGATGAGCAACTTAAAGACCCAATAGAGACATATAGTAACTATGAGTAGTTGGAGTACAAGGACCAGAAAGAGAACCAACATTTGATGATGGTGTATCACTCATATTCTTAAATTCAAATAATATTAGCTCATTTTATAAATATATAATATAAGTTGTCCAATACAAATCACTAGAACTAATAACAAAACTAACAAAATGAAAATCATTTATAGCATAAAATCGTACATTCAACTTTAAATCTGTAGAAAGACTAAATATAAAAATTTCAAGGGACATTAATCTCTACACTTTCTTCTCTTTTTGTTTGATGTTCATATTCTTTTTTCCCTTCCTCCTTGTCATCCCCATCCTCATACTCATCCTCCCCACCATCAACATCATCCTCCACCTCATAATTTTCTTCCATCTCCCTCTCTTCCTCTTCCCTCTCTCCCTCCTCCTCCTCCTCCATGTCAATAAAAATACCGTATGGATCATTCAATATGTGAGGTGTTTCACCTTCACAAATATCAGTCCCCTCCATTTGACTATTATCCTCTTGAAAAGACATATCATTTAGTGTATGAAGTTTTTTTATTATTTGGAACATCTACAACTTAATGTGCCTTTATCTGACAAACAGATTCATTCATTATGAATCCTCTTTACTGAAAGATAGGTTTCAAAATACATCTGAGAAGCTTGCACAACCATAATAAGTGGCTTGTATTTATTAAAAGTTCTTTTTCTGTTAACACCAAAAAGATTATATTGTAGATGTACTCTTGCACCAAATTTTTTGTTGGATCAAACAAAGAAAATTTAAATAACATGATTTGCTTAAATGCTAATGCATGATACTCTAGCTCAAGAATTTCTGTTAATATACCATAATAATCGATCTCATTTGCACTATGACTAGAGACGTTAATGCATATGCCACTTCTCATTGTAGATTTATTTGAATTGTATTCTTCAATGTGAAACTTGTAACCATTTAAAACATATCCATTAAAGGGTTGAACCTTATGCAATGGCCCTTCTCCAGGATCCTTCATGAATTTATTGCTAATGTCGGATGAAGGATCTCGTGCCTATTGACACTATAAATTATTAGCAATACATTAAGATTATAATAAATTCACTGTAGAAATTAATTTTGATCTTTTCTTAGTTACTTATTGATTAAACCAAGACCAAATTTCCTTTCAAGTTTAGAATCAATCTCGCTATCTTGAATACATGGTTGTATGTGTTGTGTTTTATTTGGTCTGATTTCTTACCATAAATAAGTTTTTCTTATAGGAAAAGGTTTTGGATTGACTAATTCTTTTTTCTGGTAGGAAAATGTTTAGAACTCTATAAATAGAGGAATGTTTCTTCTAACTTAATGAGCATTCACAATGTAGTCATAAAGGGCTTTGAGAGTTTTGGTTAGGGGGAGAATTTGTTGGTCACAAGCTTGATACGTTATCACTTGTGTGAGCCTCCCATGTATTCCGAGTGAATTGGTTGAGGTTGTTTCTCTCTGTATTTTGTACTTTCATATTTATAGTGGATTGCTCATCTCCTTTGTGAACGTAAGTCGATTGACCGAACCTCGTTAAATCTTTGTGTCTTTTAGTATATTTCTCGTTGTCTTCTTACTCGTGGTCTCTCGAGGTTTGCTTTGCTAGCTTCCGCGTTTACACCTGCTTATTTTAGATCCTAACAAGTGGTATTAGAGACAGATTCAATAATGGAGTCAGGTTCAGTGGTTCAATAATCGATGACTGAAGCAGGTTAGAAAGATGTGTTCATCTTGGCGGTGTAGTTCTAGAAGTAACCTTTTTGACAGTAATGAAGATTTTGTTGGAGAAATTATTTCAGAGAGATTCTTTGTGTTGAGACATAAATTTTGCTAAGGAGATTTTGGAGAGGAGAAGCAAGTTGTTGAAGCTTAAGCTAAGAAGGTGGACAAATTTATTTTGTCAGAAATTCAGGCCAATGGGGAGATTGGTTGGGTTTTATTTGCCCTGATTTCTTACCATAAATAGGTTTTCCTTTAAGGAAAAGGTTTTGGATTGACTAATCCTTTTTTCTGGTAGGAAAAGGTTGAGAACTCTATAAATAGAGGAATGTTCCTTCTAACTTAATCAGCATTCACAATGTAGTTTTAAAGGGCTTTGAGAGTTTTGGTTAGGGGGAGAATTTGTGGGTCACAAGCTTGATACGTTATCACTTGTGTGAGCCTCCCATGTATTCCGAGTGAATCGGTTGAGGTTGTTTCTCTCTGTATTTTATACTCTCATATTTATAGGGGATTGCTCATCTTCTTTGTGGACGTAGGTCGATTGACCGAACCACATTAAATCTTTGTGTCTTTTGATATATTTCTCGTTGTCTTCTTACTTGTGGTCTTTTGAGGTTTGTTTTGCTAGTTTTCGCGTTTACATCTGCTTATTTTCGGTCCTAACTGTATGTCGCAAGGTATCCTCATAAATTCTGAAGAAAAAAAAAATAATTTAGTTCAATAACTTCAAATGTAAATAATATGTATATCTACATCATGGTAATTAACTTACTTTATATATGGTTTTACTTCATCATAATTCAACAAAATATATGTCCGAGTTGCATGATATTCTCTATCATCTAATCTTGTGATTTTCTTTTTACCAAAACCACGACAAAAATGCTTGAAAACAGACAACATTTCAGGATGACCTTCTCCAATCCCACCATCATCCGCATTTTTTGAAACTTTTCTATGTCTTGTCAAAATATCTGACTCAAAGTAGTGCGTACAAAGTGCTGATGATTCTTTAACCAAACATGTGTTGCATACAAACTTCAACTCTATTATTATTTTTGATAACACACTTCACCCCATGGAATTTCCTTCAAACATAAAGTAAGTATGTCAATATAGTATAATTAGTGTATTTATATATCTTATAACATATAATTAACTTGAGTTATCTTTCACATGGATATATCAATCGTCTTAAACTAGGCCTGCTAAACATGCTTCATAAGCTAAATGGATTGGAAGATGTTCCATAGAATCCCAGAAGCTTGGAGAAAAATACCATCAATCTTAGTCAATATGAGAGGAATATCTCTTTCTAATTGTCTTATATATTCCTCAGTTATTGCAGTAGAAGTGAGATCTTTAGAAAAAGACTCAACTCTGTCAATGGTTCCCACACATTTTGTGGAAGCAAATCTCGAAATGCAATAGGTATGAGTCGTTGCATAAATATATAACAATCATGAATCTTCACACCAAAGAGTTTAATCTTGTTCATGTCAACACATCTTCACATGTTAGACACATAACAATCAGGAAATTTCAACTCATGTAACCACTTACAAAGCACTTTTTGGGCATTATCATCTAACATGTAACAAGCTTTTGGGTACATTTTAGCAGTTTCATCTTGATGTAACTTTGGTCGATTGCAAAATACTTCTAAATCTTCTCTAGATTTGGCATTGTCCTTTGTTTTTCCCTTGACATTCATGATGGTGTTAAAAATGCTATCAAACACATTTTTTTCTATGTGCATCACATCAAGGTTATTTCTAATAAGATTTGTTTTCTAGTAAGGCAAGTCACAAAATATACTTCTTTTCTTCCAACCACATAAGCTACTCTTTGAGATTCTTGCATTCACCTTGTCAGAACCATGTTTTGTCACTTTCACGAATCCCCAATCCTCAATCTCCTTGAGTATTTGTAAATCTGATTGTTCAGTAGATGCAAACTTATTCACTCTTTTATGCTTCTTGAAGCACATTTTGTTTTTTTCGCCATGGATGATCTGGTGGTAAGAATTTCCTGTGATTGTCAAACCATGAGACTTTTCTTCCATTGAATAGTGAAAAAGCATCTGAATCTTTCATGCAATAAGTACAAGCTAATTTTCCTGTTGTACTCAAGCCCGTCAACATTGAGTACGCTGGAAAATCCCTTATTGTCACTGCAACTTTCATTGGAAAATGATTTTTACTTGAAACATCATATGTTTGTACTGCCACCTCCTATAATTCTTTCAGCTATTCAATGAGGGGTTGAACAAAGACATCAATTTTCTGTTTTGGATTTTTTGGACCAGGTATAATCATAGATAAAAACATGGATTCATCATTCATGAAAATCCAAGGTGGTAAATTATATGGTGTAATTATTACAGGCCAAGTGTAATATTGTTGGCTTGATTGACCAAGTGGTTGAAATCCATTAGTAGACAAACCCAATCTAACGTTTCTAAATTCATAATATGCAAAATGTGGATACGTCTTATCAAAATGCTTCCAAGCAGGAGTGTTTGAGAGATGACGCATGACACCATTCTTTCATGCTATGAATACAATCACATATGTTTTAGTGTTGAATTAGATGCACACAACCTTTCTAGATGTAGACTTAAAAGGAAAATAAGAAATTTTCTTGTAATAAATATTAGTTCTCTTCTTGGAACGTTGATGTTTTGATCTCTTAAATCGAGGATGATTGAAAAAATTGCAATTGATTAGTCCATTTTCCTCACGCCAATAAAGCATACATCCATTTTTGCAATAATCAATCTTCCCGACCGGGAAGCCTAATCCTTGCATTAGCTTTTTAGTACCACAGAAGTTATCGGTCATTTTGTTCTCAATTTGCATAAATTATGACATAACTCACCATATACCCTTTCCAGAAAATGATGTTCTACCTTAAGATCCATCAAACGAGAAACAATAGACAATTGTGTATGTCCATGTGGAGTTCCCGTCGAAATATCTTGTTTTGATGCTTTGAGGATATAATAAATATGTTGTTGGATTTGTGTCCTATTCGACGTTACCATTTTAAGAAGGCCCAAAAAATATCAAAAACCATTGACCGAAATGCACTATCAGATAGAAGATTCACGGTTTCACCAGAAGCTTCTTCTTGATGATAATTAAGTACAATTGTATTTGAAATTTAACTTTGTCCAAGGTGATACCAACGATAATAATCCAGTAAAAATCACAAGTTCCTAGATGTTTCTTCACTCTAAACTCATCAAACTATTTTTGTTTTGACATTTACGATGATTACAAGGACATCTTAACTTCTCACAATCCATGCACTGTGGATGTCTTTTAGAAAATGCAATAAAGTTCTCAACTCCATCACTAAACTTTGGATTTATGAATCCATCTTCCAGTATTCTAAAAAACATCCACTCACGATCAGAGTTACTCTTATTATATACAGTAAAACAGATAATAAATATGTTAAAACTTACATGGTGACTACTAATTTTTATATGACACTTAAACCTAGAGGTAGCAAACTCTACTGAACTCAAATACATAAACAATTAGTTAATCACCAGCAGTTATAGTAGTTAGTGTTATACAATTTAAATGCACACTAGAAATAGTATTCAATGTATAAGCGTCATTCTACTTGTACGACACAAATATCTTTTTAGTGATTCAATTGCTATGAAGAAGAAACTAACCTTTAGCGAATGTGATAATATGTTTTATTCTACTTGGGCACACAAAATAAATGTTCTACGATGTAAATTATCCTCTCACCTAACTTGAGAAATGATAAAAACACCAATGAATAAATCTTCAAAAAACTTATAGACGTAACATGAACTACCTGAAAAATTTTATAGAACAAAAGAGAATGAGATTAGAAGTCATGTAAAAGAGTTATTTTTCTAATACATTCAAACCACGAGTTGATGAAGATTCTTTTTTATATTTAGAGTATATATAATTACATTTTTCTTTAGGAACAAGAAAATAAAGAGCTGTTAGTCATTAGCAGTATGATATTTGAAAACAAAAAATAGTATTCATGGAGTTGAAAATTTGTATTGAAAATTGAAATTGTGTTAGAACATGCATTCGACATGAAAAAAAAGAAGTCGAAGTTTTGTTATGTGAGTTAAAAATTTTTAGTTGTTCAAATTTGAAACTTTCACCTTCAAAAACCAACCAAAAATTATTCTAATATATACCAAAAATATTGTTTATACTGTCCAAGAAAACATAAAAGAATAACACTACTAAAGAGAAGATACCAATCATCAAAAAAGTTAGTGAATTTTAGCTCATCATTGACAAAATCTAATGGCAACATGCCTGCACTAAAGCTTGTCGTATGTGTAAATCTACGGTAACCCATATAACTAAAATATACATAAAAATAAGTTAAAACTTACACCCAATAAAGTTAGGTAAAGGATCCAATTCAATAATTTGATGAATACCCATATAAAAGAGCTATATAATAGTGAAGAGTATAATGGACCCAATATCGAAAACTAAATATTATTCATTTTATAACATTGATTCAAGAAAAATAAGGAAAATCTCAGCAACAATATAAAGAATCTAAAAATTGTTCATTGTAGAGAACATGAAAAGAAAAGATTCATACCTATGAGCAATAAAACAACGGAATCAAAGTTTAGATGAGTTCAAGTAGGTATCTGACTTCTTTATAGAACCCTAATTTTCTAATGTAATAAAGGAGTTAAAGGTGGGAAAACTACAAGTGTTGAAAATTCCGGGGGAAAGTTAAAACGGCATCACGTATTTCTTAAAACTTTTCGTGAAAAAATTGTTCATTAAGTTAAAGATTTTATAATTCATTGTTTTTAATTAAATTGTGATGGAATGTAAATTCGTCACAATTTTTGTGATGATTTCGCGATGGCATATATTTATTTATTTTTATTAGCTATCATTTTTGTGACGAAAATGTCACTACAAGAAAAGACATGTATTTCTACAAAATTGATTGTAGCTAAATATAAAAATTTCTGTGGCCAAACACTTTGGCTACAATAATTTTTTCTGTATCACTCGTAGCAAGATGTAGCTATTGTTACACAATTTTAAAGTTGTAGCTATTTAGATACCAAAATCCTGCCACAAAAAATATATTTACAGCAAGTTATTATATTTTTTTTCTACAAAAAAGAGTTGCAGCTAGTTTCATAGATCAGACATAAAAGTATTTTATTCTAGCAAAATGTTGAATTTGTTTGCCATGCAAATTTAGATTTTATAGCTATTTCTATAGCTTAATTTTGTGGCAATAGTATTCATATTTTGTTACGAAGAATAATATTTGTGGCTATGATATAAAGTATTTGTCAGGATATTATTGTTATTGTAGCTAAAAATAATACCTTTTAGCCGTGAAAAATAAACAATTATATACATGTTCTTGTTAGCTGAAAATTACAAATGAGAATTTATATATATATATATATATATATATATATATATATATATTTCATAATTTCATCTCTATCGAAGAATTTACACAAGCTTTATATATTACAAGAATTATATAATGCAGCTACAAATGCATTTTTGAGATTCCACAACACTTGTCAAATTACATTTTACAATTCTAAAAATAATTTTAATATCTAATTCTTTTACGACACCAACTTGTTCTAGTCCAAAGCAATATAATCTTCTCCTGTCTTTTCTTCCACGATCTTCAACAATATTAACTTGATCAACATCTCCATTTAGAATGTCATTCATATACTTAAATTACACTAAAATGTATGTCAACAATGATGATGTATTTTAGCATCAAAATCAAGACTAACAGAAAGTATATATGAACATATGTACTCGTATAATTTTTAGGAGAAAATAAACTTTAAAAATCAACATATAACAAGAAAAAAAAAGTGAAGCAACAAAAGAGGAGTATGTGGTGTCCATCCCCATGTAGCAAACTTTGAATCGCTCTATGTCAATTTCAAAGTTTGACAGATTTGGTGCTGAATTATTTTTCAGCTTTACATAATTTTCAATTATAATCTTACCAAAAAAATCTGCATAGGTGAAAAGGTTGAAATTTTGTGTTTTTTGTGATGTCACTGGTGATATCATTAGGAGTATCCTATAAATACAGTGCTCTTGCTCATTTCAAATATGCACCAAAAAGAATTACAAAGGAGAGAAAGAAAAGTGAGGCATCACAGAGGAAAATAATCTGTGAGGAAAAATAGAGAGCGTGAGCGATATTGTAGTGAGGTGGAAAATTCAAAAGAGTGTTATTTCTTATGAATGTGTAATGGTCTTTGGAGTTTTACTCATACATACAACTGTAAAATCCTTACTATAGTGATATTCGTTACTCCTCTCGGGTCGTGGGTTTTCCCTTATTTAGGAGGTTTTCCAATAAAATCTTGGTGTCATCATTTCTCTTTTATTCTCGTTCATTAACTGTATTGTTGTGTTCCACATTTATTGCATTTATTAGCGCAAATATTATTTCTATTACAGATTTATTCCCAACAATTGGTATCAGAGCACAGGTTCTGCTTATTTACAGAAATATTTTTTGCAGCTTATTGTACTATAGTCAATAAAAAAAATGTCTGGAGTAAGAACGAGGTAGCAAAATTCAACGGTGATAGCGGTTTCTCAATGTGGCAGAGAAGGATGAAAGACTTGCTCATCCAACAAGGTTTGCACAAGGTACTAAGCGGCAAATCCAAAAAGTCCGAATCCATAAAACTTGAGGATTGGGAAGAAATGAATGAAAAGTCTGCTAGTACAATCAGATTGCACTTAACAGATGATGTAGTTAATAACATCATCGATGAAGAGAGTGCATGTGACATTTGGACAAAGTTAGAAAATTTATACATGTCCAAAACGCTTACAAATAAATTGTACCTAAAGAAGCAGTTATATGCGCTAAATATGGGTGAAGATACAAATTTTTGTCTCATTTAAATGTAC